TTTATGTGCAAAGAGCAGCATAAACAGTAGAAAATTAAGTTTCGCTCATCAACTCATACATGCAGTGCTGCTGTGCTAGCTCCCTCTCACTCACACTCACACATACACACACACAGACCTGTCGGAGTCAGGAAAAATTCAGTCATTTGTTGGACTGTCAAAACATCCATAGTTTTAAGTGTCTTAGGCAAGCCATTATCGGCATAGATTCCGGATTCAACTGTGTGTGCCATGCTGCCATACTGCATGCACAGTTAAACTGCGTAAATGTTCAGGCCTACTCAGTCCTCAGCACATTTTCTACTGTTTTTATTCAGAAATAGCAACTTGTCCACATGCTGTCTGTCTGGTTCGCTGTTTGTTAACTGTGAGACGCACAGCGGAAAATACCTGCTCAGATGAAACTGATTTTAACAGATTTAACATATGATGGTATTAATTGATCAAAATGATTACTGATGAACATCCCTAGTTGGTTTGTTTGTTAGTCAGCCGGAGTATGGGAAACTACCATCGGATTTTCCCGAACCATGGTGGAATGATGGAACGTGGGTCAAGAGAAAACCCATTAAATGTTGTCACAGATCCGGACAAAGGGGAAGACCCAAGACTGTTTTGTTCCCCCTTTCTTAAACATTGCGAGATTTGTTTTCCACCAATATGAGCTCAGCTTACTACCATTCTAGTTCCTAAAATTTAACAATAAAAAAAAAAACCCAGAATCAAAACTGACAGTGTTTTCTTTTGCATTTGTCATTTGATATGGAATGAAATTAATTCAGGACATGGGGAACGTTTCTTCTACTTCTGAGTAAAGAACCCTTGTCATGTAAACGCCAATGTATTTTATATGTTTTTTTATATTGACTAGAGTCTACTTTGTCCTGCTCCAGCTCAGCACCTGTTGGTGCTGTGTGGTTTTGTAGTGCCACAAGTGTAAATATTGTAGATGAACACTTCACAGGCCAGCCAACATGTTTGTTTGTGCAGAACATCCTGTTGCAGAGTAGTGTGGAAACATGGTTGCTGTTTATTTTGATTTCTTTTCTGGAGGGTTCTTGCTACATTCATGGTCATATTTACTTGTGTGTTTGACGTGTTTGAAGCATGTGCCATGACAGTGCTTTTATGCATCTTGTGTGTCTGTGCACACGTCTCTGTGTGTGCGAGTAAATCCAGCTCGTTTAAAGCGTGTTAAAAGCGGCCTGTCACAGCCAGACAGCATGTTGTGCATGCTCTGCTTGTGCTGAGGCTGTGTGCGTCACAGGGAGATAAAGAAAAATAGCGAGGGGGCGTCATACGCATTTTCCTTTCCACGGCGCAGGCATCAGATGAGATGGTGAAATTTTTTGCCTCAGCACTGTCTCTCAGTGTGTCCGCCCACTTGTAGCAGGCTGGCGCTTGCCGTGAGGGATTTCCTGCACAACATCTATCGCTCAGCAAATGTGAGCGACAGTGAAGGCCTGATTCAATTCAGAGCAACAAAAAATGGCAACCCTGGGGAGACAACATTGTGCATCCTTCTTTCTAGACACAGATCATCTTGAATATGCACGAACTGGTGAAGCAGACTCCATCTTTTTTTTTTTTTGTCTCCGTACGACAAGAAGTATGTTCCACTGTTTGATCCAAGTATGTCATCACTAGACTCTTCTGTTTTCCTTTTGTTGACTGTACTTTATTCCACCTGTGTCCGCAGTCTCGGGGATATGTTGGCCTCAGATTCACCTTTTGGTTTTGAATGTCATTTGCAAGTGGGTCCATCCACTTCAACTGCTTTGTTTATGTCTGTCTGTCCTGCCTGTGGGCATATATGAGCATATTCACTGTGCTGTTTGCACATGCATGTTTATTTGTGTGTGTGTGTGTGTGTGTGTG